AGATTCTGGTTATATAGCATAGGCTAATTCTGGTATAAGTAAATTATTGGAGGGACAGGATGTGAGTTTTGGAGTATCTGTTGTTATATCATGTATGATCAAGTATGCCAGTAGTAATTATAGTGTTTCCTTTATGATGTATTCCCATGACAGTCACAGTTCTTTATTTATACCTTGTCATTTTAAAAAAAAATTCACCTTTCCAGCTGACCTTCTTCTTAACATAAACACAGCAATTAGGTGAAGTTTTTGAAGCAGTGCACGAATTGCCCCATGCTAAATAGATGTTGTCAGTATTTCTGAAAGGCTAAAATACATAGATACTGGGTACACTCCTGGGATATTCTACATTAGTTGTTTCAAAATTAACTGCTGTATGCTTCAAGTTTAAGGGGTGCGATGACAATTATGATTATTTTAATGGCAATTAAATGTAAGCAAATTCAGCACTTCTAAATAGACAATATGGCTAAAACATCTCATATAATTAGCAACGCCACTAATTTATCATTACCTTGAAATTGTGTTATTATTATTGCTTTCCTTCTAGTCTAGTGAAGACATTATAGAAGAAAAGCAGAGAAATTTGAACCTTGAAGAACTGAAGGACTGGGAGCTGAAGAACATCATTAAAATGAGCACGCCAGCCATGAAAAAGGTGCCACATTCAACGGCTAATCTGCCACTGAGATTTGGAAGAAACTTAAGAGAGAGAGAAATTTACATCATGAGCGAAATATACTGTCTATTTATATTGATACATTATATATTGTGGTGTAACGTGCCCTGATTTTCATATGAGATACATAGATTTACATACTGTTTTGTGTGAGGTATTTATCTTTTTTGAAAGCTGTAAAGTAAGTGTTCACTTTGTTCAGTGTTTGTTACATTACATTGTCAGAATAGTGAGTGCATTTGCTTTGGTTTGATCTTGCTGTTTTGGGCCCTTCTCCTTTGGTGGATTCAGATTATTTATGCATGTATAAATACAACACACCTCACACAGAGAAACCATTTGCTAAGTAACACCTCAAGGTGCTGTGATAATTGTAACACTACTGCTTAACTTGACATTTCTGTCAGGAAAAATGGCCACAAAAACTCCAAGAAATTCCATGAAGTATCTTGAAGTAGGAGATCTCACACTGAGAAATCTTGCTCCTATCACAAAAATTTCCTTGGTTTTTCTCTGAAATTCAGGCCTTTGAATATTATTCATAATATAAACAAGAATACCAACTTAACAGAATGATGAAGTATAAGAATACTAACTTCACTATTCAGTTGACCTAATTAATTAATTAGTTAAATGCCATGAACTCAGTTCCATCTTATGATGATCCTTCCCAGGGTTATCTAGGTATAGAGTTTTCAGAAGTGGTTTAGCATTCCTTTCTTACAGGAGCACTTTGGAACTAGGCAGCTTGCCCAAGGTTGCACAGGCTGGTTCTTCTCGTGGGTGGTACAATGGGAAATTGAACACCCAGCCTCTGGCTCTCCAGGTATCCAACTCACAAAGTTATCGAACCAGTCTCTGTCAAGCTACCATAATAACAATAACAATAACAATAACAATAACAATTAACAATAACAATAACAATAACAATAACAATAACAATAACAATAACAATAATAATAATAATAATAATAATAAAAGTCCATAATATATATGAATTTGCCAAATATGAATTTGGTAAGATCTTAAAAGATTTGCTGCCTGAATTTAAACAATGAAAACAAAGATTTGTAGGGGGAGCCTTATCAATGTGTAAGAGCACCAGAAATGTTTACAGAAGTTTCTCCAGGATAATTTGTGTCTACAGCACACTCCACAACAACACAATATGTCTATCTGTATGCATTAAAACATAAAATAAATTTAGGATTGCAAGAGAAACATGGAGCTAGAGACACCCGCAGTAGACTCAGTTTAAAACCTTCCACGATTTAGAACTCTGAGCCCACATGGTTCTAAATCAGAGCATGAAAAAAAATCACATTTAAGACTACATCTCCCAGAATCCTCAGCCATGCTATTTAAGATATTCTGAGAGCAGTAGCTCAAGCATAACTTCCCCACACTCTGTTCTAAACTATTTGGGGATCCTCCACATGCAAAGCAGGGTGCCTGCTGTAGATGTACACCTTCCAGTTTTTGGAGAGTGACAGGGCCAGGGGATGGAGTCATGACTCAGGGGACACGTGTCCTCATTTTCTCTTAACGAGTTAGCTTGGCTACATTTTGAAATACCTGAGTAGGATGTAGGGCATGGGCAGAAAAGTTCTAGAGGTCTGATAGCCACACATCCTTCCCCCAGACCTTGAAAGTACCTCAGTGCCTTGACCTTTTCCCATAGATTTCTTTTTAAAAGCCTTTTTAAAACTGAAAAATCCACTTTATGCACTGTAATGCCCCCAATTTTAAAAAATTACCCCAAAATGAGGATCAGGGGACTAGTAGTACTGGGAGGCAATAGATGGAAAAATAATCTCCCATACTGTACTGTCTAGACTCTAGAGAGTAAAAAGAGATGTGTCTGAACAAAGCATTTTGTTTTGTTTTTAATTTGGGGTGTGTTGGGCTGGGTTCTTCCCATGGTGCTGAAGGGCTGTATTTTGGCTCTAGGGGATCAAGAAAGGAAGGAAGGGAGGGAGGGATTCTACAGGTTTCAAGCAGATATTCATTGTACACTACACAGACTCCCCCTCTCCATAATGTTCCCAAGAAACTTGCCCGAGTCCCTTGAGATGTTCTGCACTTAAAATTTCCTTTTATCAGCAAAATGACAATCAAATTAATTCAATTGTCATGTGTCACTTCTCAAAATAAAGAAGTGCATAACCTAGATAAGTAATAAGTTGTGGTTCTGAACCATAAAGTTTTCAGACTAAACCCCAGATCACAGTGGGGTTCAAACATTGCCTCTTTCTGCATCTTATTTCCATGCCAGTCTTGCCCTGTTTTCATCAAACCACCCCCCTCCCTAAAACCTCACATAGCTTGATCAAGGAAGGTGGGTTACTAGCAGCAGAGGACACCAAAGCAGTTAGACCTTGTCTTGTCTGTAAATCTATGGGGAGGAATATTTTCAGGACCCCTCCATTTTGTCTGACATTTTGCTTGCTCTCTTTCAGATTTGGTACTTTCAGCAGCCCTGTGAAAAGGGAATCCAGTGTCGAAGAGGCAACCCTTTGGAAGACATTGAATCAATTTCCTTTCTAAACCATTGATGTGAAGAGACAGAGAGAAATGAAGGAAAGGAAAAACCTTTGTCTTCAAATATGGTTTCTTCTCCAAAGCATTAGTCCTCAAGCGAGCATTCATAGGGCTCTGATTATTATTGTTGTATTAGTATGTATCCATAGCTACACAGTAGGTTCTGATTTTTACGATACCCCTTATAGTTAAATCCATTTTAAATAATATTTTAGTATTGTAAGTAACTGAGAACAATGTATGCAAAATGAAAATAAAAAATTACAAAGCCTGCCATCTCTAATGGGAAGTTGTAACTGTGTTTAGAAGAAGAACAAGATACGGTGGAGAGTCCAGGCTGTTGATCTGAGTCTGCTGCTCTTTTCAAGCTCTTGTTTTAAATTTTGCTTGCAGTACATATAAGTGTTGTTCTCTAAATTGTAAAACATGCCACTAAGGCAGGGGTCTCCAAGCTTTTCAGTGTGAGGGCCGCATAGTATATTTTAAACATTTTCAAGGGCTGAAGGAGGGAAGTGGGATCCCCCACCCCTGGTTTCTTTGTAAAGACATAGTATATTTTAAACATTTTCAAGGGCTGAAGGAGGAAAGGGGGATGCAAGTGATCCCCCACCCCTGGTTTCTTTGTAAAGACAGTAGGGGTGGTGGAATCGCTTGGCTCCCTCTTCCTTCCTCTTCCTATGCCTGGGCCAGATAAAAAGTCAAGGCAGGTCCAATGTGGCCCACTAGATGTAGTTTGGGGACCCCTGCACTAAGGGCTTGGGATGTAAAAAGTTCCTGTTTTCCACCTGCATTTTCATTGATCCATGACAAGTTATAAGGACTTCTTCCATATGCACATCCACACAAACACAGAAATGTTTAGGTAACTCTATGCACTTTCCTCCAAACTGTACACCTTTTGTATCTGTTATTCTAAGGAATGTGTTTGGTACACATTTTTATGCACAATTCAAATGTGTTCATGTGCATTTTCCAAATATATGCATTTTTCACTGTGCACCTTTTAAAAATGTATACAGTATATCGCTTTGCATGCATGTTTTACCACAGAAACATATTGCAAATGCTGATAGCCTCAGAAGGTTGAAATGTGTATTTTCATATAGAAACGCAAAACCAAGATGCTTATTTCCCATCACTTGATTTCTATCCATTAAGACCTACAGTATCTGCTTTCGCAAGCGTAGAACCAAGATATATGTCCATACATACATCAAACATAGGTACACTCCATAATCTTGATTTGATGAAAGCTCAAAATTTCCTCTCACATACACAAGTCAAATGTGATCTCATTTGTCTTTAGATATGCTACACAGGACTTGAATAAGACAAAAACTTTTGAAAGAAAGCTACCTTTTAAAAGAAATAAGTATAAAGATCGGTCGAAGCCCTCCATAACTGAGCAAAGTGCCCATCATCACTCATTTTTAGGTGGCCTCAACATATGTTGAAAATCAACACATCTGGAAATCCAACATTTGTTATCAGACATGTCCTTCTGTTTCAGTCACTCACAGAGGATAAACAGGTGGTTTAATTTCAAAAGATAATAAGATGAGGGTTTGCTTTTCATTTGTTAATTTAACCTTTCTTTTTTGTATGAGTAAGGAAGTGGTCTTTCACATTCATTGTAGATTAAGTTGTTTCACTTTTCTGTGTCATTTGGCTAAAACCCACAAGTTAAATCAGTTTTAATCAAGACAGATAAAAACAACAACCCAAACCCTGTCACGAGGAGTCAATGACCAGCTCATTGTGATGTCAGACACCACTTGGAGGAAAGGGCAGGGCAGGAAAAAACCTGCACAGGACACTGCACTTAAGACTGGAAGGTACGCTTGAGACTTATATTTTCACCTCACTTGTCCCTCCTGATTCTATCCATTACTATTTGTCTAAGCTTTTGGAAGGGATGGACCAGAGAAGGGCATCACCTCATACATAACATCCATGCCTTCAATTAGAAAGGTCTCAGGTGCAATCTTGCCACCTCCAAGGAAGGGCAAGTGAAACACTTGTCTATAACCATGGAGAGTCATTGCCAGCCAGTGTGTAGATAATACCAATCTAGATGGAATAACAATCAGCTCTGTATAATTTTATTTATTTATATCTCATCTTTCTCCCTTAGGAGACCCAAGGCACTTTACAGTGTGTATTTAATATTTTCCACTAAAAACATAGCACAATCCAATATTAAAATAGTTTTAAATGAATTATTAGGAAAATACAGTTTACAACCTTTTAAATATAGTTCACGACCCTGCCACTTTGGGTCCCCCTTTTGGGAGAAAGGCACTGAAACACACACATACACAAAAACACACACAAAAACCAAGTGACACCATCCAAAAACAATAGTGGAAGTAAAGCTCACCATTAAAAGGTCCCAATCAGTGACCAAAGAGTTATTTACGTCGAAAAGGTTTTTCCCACTGGTGGAAGGACATCAAGGAGAAGATCAGCCTTGCCTCTCTCAGAAGGGTATTCCAACGGATAGGAGCAGTGATCAAAAAGGCCTTGTCTCTTCTTTCCAACTATACCTGTAAGGGAAGCCAGGCAGGGAAAAGGCCTCTCTTGAGGTTCTTAAATCTCATGGAAGCTGCTATACAGAGATATGACCCATCATGTAGCCTGCACCAAAGATGTATAGGACTTTACAAGTCATAACCAACACTTTGAATTGCCACTAACTGGTGAGAACAATAAAGGCCTACAGCAGCTATGGGAGACGGGTGGGTGAGTGGGTTGCATGATGAACAGTGTTAAAACTGATGGACCATCTTCCAACTGCAGAGATAGCTGGTTAATACTCCAGACTGCTCAGGTGATGTGAAGCAAATGTTCCACGGAGCTCTCTATACTTTTGAATGAGATGTGTTGTTTTCTTGCCTTTAGTTTTGATCTCCAGCTCTGATCAGCCTTAGGCAGCATAGCCAATGGTGAGAGATTGTGGAAGTTGTACAATAATGGTGAGGAGATACATTCCCCATTTCTTCCTTAAAGGAACCCCAAAACTAGCATTTGCAATACAAACATCCTCAGAGCTGCCTTGTTTCCAAAGAAGGTATCCTGCACACAGGTTCCGGTCAGTACAATGTGTACAAAATGAAAGATCCAAAGAAGCCCTAACCTCTTTTGTCCTTAATCATTCACATTCCTTCAGGACACTCAGGGCCCTGTTTTTATCTAAAATTGTGTCATCCTCTTTTTACAGAACTCAATTTTTCAAAAACAAGATTTCTTTTGTTATGTTTATTCTTCCTTAATACTTGATCCGGCTTATTTGTCTAAACTCTTTTTGCTTTGTACTGGAATCTGAAGAAGTCTCTTTCAAGTAACCAACCGGCTCTGTTGTAAAGTCATTTCTAGTTATCTATCAAGACAGAAGTTAATATTCACCCTAAGCAAAAAATGGCACTGGTCACTCTGAGTACTGACTCATTTCTGTGTGGATTCTTTCAGAATTTTTTTTAAAGATGGAGGTTCACCCAGGCATGTCCTTTTACAACAATGTGCACGATGGAACAGCCTTAATAACAAAAACATTGGAATCTACACATGATCTCACTCCACTGCATATCCCACCAGGACCCCCTATATCACCAGAAAGGTAAGAAATACATATATATTGTTTATTTTGGGTTCAGTGGTACCTTGTGTGTAGCTGCCTTTGGTCAAATAGTAAAACCCACTCCATATGGCTGCAGTCCCCCATGTACTTTGAAACAGCCACTCTTAAATTCAGTGAACTGTGCTATTCAAGTAGTCACACATAAGCCTGGTCTGCACATTTTTCAAGCAGCAATGCATCCAAGAGGCAGCCATATCAGTTGACTGATGAGCTTTTCTCCCAGTGCAAATAACCGCTTTGGATGAGTGATTTATGTCAGAAGGAGGAAAGGGTTGTTGTGGTCCTGATAAATCCAAGCCACCTCTACTCCCAGCAGCTATTTGAATTTTCAAGTGTGAAGAGATTAAATTATGCATTTAACTTTACATATAATATGAATTTAAGACTTATATGTTGCTCTTCTGTGTAAGTGCTTGAAAATATGCTTTGATGTATGACTTGCATTCCTACATGGGCTCACATCTTGTGCCAGCTGGCTGAGAGTCTAGTCCACTGAAACGAGCATTCATAGAACCGGAGATATCAGCAAAATCAAAGATGCAAGGCAAAACATGTAGGCAGTGTTTGGTTTCTGTGAGGGAAAAAAGCATTTCTGAGGGACTAGCCAATGGGTGAAGCCATGATCAGTTTAACAGCTGCTCATAGTTATATAAATGAAAGATTCTGGGGGGAAAGGGTTGCAATTATAGGTAAGTTTGGTTCCTGCAGAACTGCCTGGAACAAAGTATGGGCAACACACAGCAAAAAATGCTGACTGGGGGATTGTGAGAGCCAAAGATCCCCAAAGGAACTTTTCCAGGATCTGATATTATACATCTTACTGGATTTCTTGCTTTGGCATGAGGACTGGACTCAGTGACTCTTGAGACTTTGTTGAACACAAATATGACAACCTTAAAGGAACAGCAGTTGTATCTACAGTGGACCCTCTACTTACAGAATTAATCCGTATTGGAACGGTGGCTGCAAGTCGAAAAGTCTGCTTGGTTCCTGCAGAACTGCCTGGAACAAAGTATGGGCAACACACAGCAAAAAATGCTGACTGGGGGATTGTGAGAGCCAAAGATCCCCAAAGGAACTTTTCCAGGATCTGATATTATATATCTTACTGGATTTCTTGCTTTGGCATGAGGACTGGACTCAGTGACTCTTGAGACTTTGTTGAACACAAATATGACAACCTTAAAGGAACAGCAGTTGTATCTACAGTGGACCCTCTACTTACAGAATTAATCCGTATTGGAACGGTGGCTGCAAGTCGAAAAGTCTGTAGGTCGAATCTCCATTGACCTACAATACATTGAAAACCAATTAATCCCATAACTGGCAGTTTTTATTCTATTTTTGTTCCATTTTGGTTTTGTTCTGGTCTGTATTTGTATCTACATGAAATGTTTCTGTAGGATTATGTTACAAGTTTAGTATTTGGTTCACAAAACATTGTTTCCTTTCTGCAACTTCTTTGTATACATTTTGTTAACCTGTGAGAAATACACACACACACACACCCAAATTCAGACTGTGGAGATCAAATTTCCCTGCTTCCCATGTTATAAATATATGTGACATGCATTTTTAACTTTCTGGGATACAAAGGTCACTAACCTGTAGAGAGAAGTCGTGCATGATTTATTAACATTTCCTTCAGCTTCAATCATCAAATATACCCAATGATTCATCTTTTGAACTACAAGACAATAAAGTTTACCTTGTTTCATTAACCAATCCCTACCTTAAGGGCATATCGAGACAGGGGAAGTTGGCGCAGTCTGGTTTCCGCTTAAAAGGTTGTTTTTATTTTATCTCTCACTTGAATGATCCTTCCATTCACACTGCCCAATTTTTTTATTCCTGTAAGACTTTGGATCACCCCAGATTGTCCGCCTTTTAATTAATGACACTCCCCATTTTGTCTTCTCCCCTGCTGTTTCTTATGGCTGTCATTCAGTGTGCTGCAGCAAAAAAAAAGTGTTGGTAAATAAAGTGACATAGCAAGACAGCAAAGCACCTACTGTACCTAGCATAGTACACATAATATTGCCAATGTATCTTGTTTATCAAGAATAGCGCTACATTAATAGGAAAAAGTATTAACATTAACATGGGAAAGTGGATGAAAATAGAGGAGGGGGGTTTCTCCATCATCCCTTTCAATGCCACAACCCAGCAAATATGTCACAGGGTTGTCATCTCAGATACCACCAACCACGGCTCTATTTTGGTGCAGATTAACCATCAGCACGAGCTACAGAACATAATAATCAGGAACATGCAAAATTGTACCAAAAAAAAAACCTTTAGTCCTGGTGGTGTGCCAAAAAGGAGTGGGGCAGCTCTAAAAAGGGGTGGGATGAATTGCTACAAGTCAAAACATGTTTGGATGCCATGAACAAAACAGGACCAAAAGCAATCCAAATAGCAAGCTATTCCACCACCGCAGACGTGCCCTCAGCCAGCATTCGGATGCTAAAGACACCGACGTGCAAAATATTAAAAGAAAGTAGAGAAACAGTTTGGATGTTTGTATTTAAGACAAAGAAAGATTTTCTAATCAGCCAAGATTTCCTACCATTTCTAAGACACTAAACAGGGAGTACTGGCTTGCTGTGAACTTTTCACCAAAGCTGGTGGCATGGGAGGGATGAGAAATAACTGACAGGCAAATGTTTATGGACTGACAGTCTTACTGTTTTATTCCAACAGTGTTTAACTATGCTGAGGAAGTGAACTTCACTTACATGGAGTGGGGCAGGAATCTTTCTTTCTTCTGAAGACACAATTCCTTAAAAGACAATTGGTCAAAACCACATTTGGATAGCCGGCAGGCCTGAAACTATAACTAAAAATGTGTTGCATTCCCAGTTTTCTCCCCCCTTTCTGTGTATGTCTTTCTCTTTCATTCTCTGTTCCTCCTCCTTCAGCTATTTCTCTTCCTTTTCTGACATTCCCTTCGTACATCTCTCCCTCCCTCTTGCATTTCTTCTGCTGCCACCCCCCCTGTACTTGCTTTGCCTTATTCGCTCCTCTCTTACATACCTTCCATTTTCTTCCTTTTGCCACACCTTTTTCCATTTCTCTGCTTTTCTCTTTTTTCTGCCACCCACATCTCCTTCCCTTCAACTTCTGAATTCTGTCAGGGAAGAGTCCGATCGTCCTCTTTGAGTGGCGTAGCTGAGCTGCCCTTTTGAAATGTTTCATCTGATTTCAGGTATGAGGAACTACGAGAAAGCTTCCAGCTGTGCAAGCCTGTATTGAAAGCAGGGCAAGAATCCGGAGGGAGGGAGCCCATGTTGCCAGAATCTCACAGGAACTATGAGCCACCTTATAAGTTTCATCATGAACATCACTACTATGGCAATACTCGAGATGCTCCACTAAGGTATCACCATTCTCTATAGTTCTGGAGGACTGGATGTTGTGTTTTGACCCAGAAGCAAATCCAGAGGTCTCTTGGCAAGCTTAAACAGGACACGGACATAGTTAAAAAGAATACTTTGCGCCAATGAATGATTCTGTCTCCTGAAAACTATTCTGTTCCTATGCAGTGGCACTGATACTTAATGACTTTCAGCTGGCATGTCTACTCCTTCCTAACAGCAGCAATTAGGATGGATAAAAATCAATGATTTTTAAAAATCAAATTTATTTATATCACAATTTAAATAAAAAGTAGTTTTCTATTTAAATCATCAAAAAATCCAATTTAAAAAATTAAATCAAATCCATCCTGGTAGTGATGGTCCAGAAAACTCTTTGGATGAGTGCCACCAAAGTCTTTGCTGTTTTTGCTTTAAGAGACTAAAGGCACTGTCCTGTATATACTGTATACTGTAACTGTGTGAAGGGCTGAAAACTGGATGCACTATGCAGTTTGACCACTTGATGGCAGCAGAGCAGATAGAACTAAAGCTGCAAATTTTAACCTTTTTTCCCCCAGTTGTTCCTTACAGTAAGAAAGAAAGTTCTCAGATGAATACTAAAGGCTTTCCAATGATATGTACTATGAATACCTATTGCAGTTCATAGGTTTGAAATCTTCCTGGTAGGGATGTTGGCAAGTCTTAGGGTCCAAGTCCCAAGTCTGAGTCTTTGGTAGCAAGTCCTGGATCCCAACCCCAGGTCTGAGTCTCTATTAAAAACAAACTTTTCCCCCCAGAAAAAAGGGGAAAATGTGTAACCATTTCCAAACATAGCTTTTTATTACCTTAGATTTTGTCAGCCTTTGGTTTGAGGCTTCATTCACAAAGGTGAATGGGCAACAGAGGGAATAATAATAATAATATGAGTCTTTGGTAGCAAGTCCTGGATCCCAACCCCAGGTCTGAGTCTCTATTAAAAACAAACTTTTCCCCCCAGAAAAAAGGGGAAAATGTGTAACCATTTCCAAACATAGCTTTTTATTACCTTAGATTTTGTCAGCCTTTGGTTTGAGGCTTCATTCACAAAGGTGAATGGGCAACAGAGGGAATAATAATAATAATAATCCAGAATCAGAGTCATCCCCTGAAATTGAGGTTCTGCTACACATGCCATTTTGGTGCAGGCTGGTGCAGTCTAAATAGGGTTGCTTCAGGTTGGGAGGAGGACCGATGTGCCATTTTGTGCAATCCTCATGTCCAAATGGCATATTGACCTATGCCATTTTGTGCAGTCCTCATGTCCAAATGGCATATTGACCTTAAGCAACCGTCCAGCTCCTTCGGCTGTCAGCTGAACACATTTTCTGCTCCTCTGTAATGCGGCAGAAGAAATGAAATTATTATTTTTGTCCCTGCCAGAACCTTGCTGATGCACTGAGCCACTTAGGAAAAAAATTAAATTATTTGCTTTGTATATAGTGCAGATTGAAAAACATCCCACAGCTGCAGTTTCAATTGGTACTTCACAGAAATGTAAAGAACATTTTTAAACAAAATTTAATCTAAGTGATTCAATGCCACAGTGATAGTTTAGCAGAGTAAAAAATGAGCAGGGGATGTTCAGTTTGCCAAAATCCTGAAGTGGCTCGCTTACTAAGCCACCGGAAATTGAAACCAGAAGGACAATTCTAGTCCTTCCCAGCAATTGCAAATGCAGGGGAACAGGCTAAACTACAACACACCAACCCCCACCAAAAAAGGAAAAGGCTGTGACAGGAGCTCAAAGGGGTGCAGGTTGAGGTTGCCTGGGGCAAATTGGTCCATTCTAGTTATTACATTGTGTGATCGCTGGAAAAAAGAGCAAACCTGCCCCTGCAATGCTCGAAACAGAGGGACAAATGCCCATCTGAACAACCCCGGAATCACCCCAAAATTACATGTTAACGTGTGACTGAAATCTTATTGATCAGCATAGTAAGACACAACTACGTAGAGTTATGTCCATGTAAGCAATGGAAATTACAGAGGAGTCAGCTCACCAAATCCTCATTGATTCAAAGCACCTAATTTAGCTGCAGACTTACTACACTAAGCACCAGTATTTCATCCATTATGTCTAAAACACAAATCATGAATTCTGCCAATCCCAAATTAATTTCATCGATGTCCATTTATTTCCTCTCCAAACTTACAGACCTTCCTCTCCAAACTTACAGACCAATTATACACTGAATATATACCAGATAAATACTGTATGTTTTGTTACAGATTGGCATGTTTTATTTGATATAAGCTTTGGTGGACTGCAAAGTGCTTCTTCAGAAGTCTGTATCTGAAGAAACAGGCAATAGTCCACAACGGCTTATGCCAAACAAAACTTGTTAGTTTTAAGATGCCATGAAACTGTTGTTTTTGCTGCAATGGACTGACGCAATTCCACTGCCACCAAAATGCTAGATGTTGGACATATGTAGCAGCACATTATGAAATTGCTTCAGAAAGTGTACTGGCATTGGGGCAGAGGAGGGAGAAGGAAATAACATAGTTAGACAACTTGTACATATTAATTTGACCTTTAGCAAAGAAATATATCTGGGTATTTATACCTATTATTTACTCAAAGTCTTTATGGAGTTTCATGTGACAGTGACTCACTTTACAATCATGACAAACAAAGGCACACGTTCAGTTCTTGCTCATTTTCACTATTCAACTGAAAATAACTTTAATTGTTTTATTTTATTTAAAATATTTTTTACCCTGGCTTTTTCCTTAAAAAGAACCCGGAGTGGCTTACATAATTAAAAATACATATATTAAAAGCCAAAATCAGGAAGTATACAAATACTAAAAAGGATCAAACAAATGCCACACTAAAAGATGGTAAGCAAAAGCAATACCAAAAACACATTCAAGCAGTAAGGCACAACAAAACATTTATAAACCCCACTCAGGCAGCCAATCACTCAGGGAAAACTTGCCTGAAGAGAAAGAACTTCGCCTGCTTGTGGAAGGAAAAGCAAAGACCGGGCCAGCCTGGCATCTTGTGGGAGGGAGTTCCAAAGTCTGGGAGCAGCAACAGAGAAGGCCTTTTCCCATTTTCCTATTAAACGTACCTGTGAAGATGGTCGGACTAAGAGAAAAGCCTCCTCTGATTATCTTAACACCTAATTAGGCTCATAAAGAGTGATGCAGTCTGTGAGATAGCTTGAACCCAAGCCATTTACGACCTTATAGGTTAGAACCAGAACTTTGAATTTTGCCGGGAAAAAGATTCATAGCCAGTGGAGCTGTTGTAACTTTCCCCTATGCAAGATGCTACAAACACACACACACACACACACACACACACATATGTACAGCTAAATAGGTGTTTTGTGAGTCCTGGTATTCCTGTGCATATAGATAGGTCTCATAGCCATTTGTTGTTGTTGTACAGCCCTATGCAATTGAGAAATACAGATGGAGTCTGTAATAAAATGTTGTGGTCTGCTCTCTTCCAGAACAATCTGCAATATTTCCACCCCTTCCCTGGGTTTCCCTTATTTTCCCAATTTGGCTGTTGTCCTATTGCCAGTCAGCAGGTATTATTAAACAACTACAGCCGGAAAGATCAGAGTGACCTAGTTACAACTGGCCCAGCCATCTTGAGTTTGCAGTTGTATGGACTGGAAACAAAACAGCTATTCAGTAAGGTTGCAATTAAGTTACCTGGCCATTGCGCTACAACATATCCACACATGTGGGTGTGTATATAGAACATACTGTATATTGAATGAAATGAAGTAATTGCCTGTCTCTCTTTTATGACAGATTACCTGATATGTCAGAAAACACAGATCGGTAAGTATATATAATCTACATCACGTCTTTCCACGTTGAACAATCTTTGTGTTTCAAGTTAACATGTCCCAAGGTGTCCAAACACAGCTCACCTGCAGAGGGGTGGCATGGCTGTCTGACTTACTGTTGCAGACCCTACATTTTTTTTATTTTTAAACTTTTAGAGATTATTTAAAAGTAAGAAAAGACAAGTAATAGCTAAAATGGTGAAACAATAGGTCTACACACATTATAATATTGCAAAAGTAATGGGGGGGAAGAACCCTTGACCTTGATGGAACCCCAGACTACCCCGATGATGCTGACTTCTGCCTGGTTCTCATGCAGAATGCAACTTCTCCAAAGAGGCATTTATTTGAAATAGGATTTAAGTTGTTCACAAAACTACGGGGTGGTGGTGGTGGTGCAGTTAAGCTCATTAGGTCCACAGGGTCACAGATGTAAACATTCACAGAATTACTTGAAGGACCAAAGGGAATTAAATTTATTCAAAAATCAACATTGCCTCTGCACAGCTCCCATTCTTTACTACAGGACTTCATAAGAGGAGGTTCTCAATGGAGGGAGGTATCATTCTGTACATATACTTAGGCTGAGAATGCTGGTGGCTCCATCCTTCTCCCCAGCTCTGCTAGAGCCTCTGCTAGGTAACCCTCCTTCCTATGCTTCTGGATGCATACATAGGTTGAGAAAGAAATGCTTTTTAGTCACCTGCATGCACAGAATAGCAGGGGGGTGTGAGGATCATAATCTGGTAAGAGGGCCAAGATGATGATGATGATGATTGTTGTAGTTGTTGTTAGTAGTAGTAGTAGTAGTAGTAATAATAATATATTGTCATTGAATGGTAACCCTCCTTCCTATACTTCTGGAGGCATACATAGGTTGAGAAAGAAATGCTTTTTAGTCACCTGCATGCACAGAATAGCAGGGGTGTGTGAGGATCATAATCTGGTAAGAGGGCCAAGATGATGATGATGATGATTGTTGTAGTTGTTGTTAGTAGTAGTAGTAGTAGTAGTAATAATAATATATTGTCATTGAATGTATATACACACTATATACACATACAACGAAATTCACAAAGAACACTCAGGTAAAGGTTCCCCTTGACAATTTGTCCAGTCGTGTCTTACTCTAGGGGGTGCAGTGGTTAAACTTCTGTACTGCAGCCAAAACTGTGCTCACGACCTGGGGTTCAATCCCAGGTAGCTGGCTCAAGGTTGACTCAGCCTTCTATCCTTCCAAGGTCAGTAAAATGAGCTCGCTGGGGGCGGGGGGCAATGTGCAGCCTGCATAATTAACTTGTAAACCACCTAGAGAGTGTTTGAAGCACAGTGGGGCGGTATGTAAGCAGCACGCTTTGCTTTTGCTCATCTCAGTTTCCAACCCATAGAGCTAGTGTTTGTCCGAAGACAATCTTCCATGGTCATGTGGCCAGCACAATTAGACATGGAACGCCGTTACCTTCCCACCATGGTGGTACTTATTTATCTACTTGCATTTTGCATTTTGCATGCTTTCGAAGCGCTAGGTTGGCAGGAGCTGGGACAAGCGACGGGGGCTCACTCCGTTGCGTGGATTCGATCTTATGACTGCAGGTCTTCTGACCTTGCAGCACAGAGACTTCTGCGGTTTAACCCGCAGCGCCAACACTCAGAGACCAGATCAAAACACACACATCCTCATAACAATCCTAAAACCCAGAACCCTGCCTAAGAGCACACAGTATCCACACAACATACAACAGAACAGACCAAGTAATAGTAATACAGCCCAACAACTCACTGCTGGTGATTCTTAAATTCCTTCTTAAATTCAATTATAGCACTAGGATAAAAACTGTTTAAAAAGCATGCTATCTGAGTTTTAATTGCTCTGTATCTTCTGTCGGAAGGCATCACTTGAAAGAAGTTATAAGCAGGGTGGGAAGAATCTCTAAGAGTATTAAATGACTTCCGCAAGCAGTGGGATGCAAAGGCCATTCATTGGTCTTCATGGGGCATGGTGCTCCTCCGTTGTGGCCATTGTGGGATTGGCATAATAACAAGGACAGAGGAGAGCCGCACTGTGTGGAGGGATGCCCTTTCTGCCTACACCTTTCACTCATTTTTCAGCATCACTTTCTTTCAGTGATACCAGAGATTGTAGCTTCATCTGTTGCAGCAAAAGATGAAGTTTGGAATTCAGCAGGGGAATATTGAAGGCAAGGTGGTTTTTGATATGGTTTTTGCAGATATTTTTCCATAACCACAAATGAGACTGATTACATGCACAGGTCATAAAGCCTGGATGATTAAGTGTATTTTTCATTATCTTTTCTACTCTCCTTTTAAAAAGCTGGCTGGATAACTCAGTGGCTTAGCTATCTGGCTGTTGAGCCAGGGGTAGGGAGTAGGGAGGGCCAGCCTGTGTAGCCTTGATCAAACTGCACAGTGCAAGGGTGCCCCAGAAGAAGGGAAGGGTAAATCACTTCTGAGTATTCTCTACCTGGAAAACCCTGAAAGGGGTCCCCATGAATCAGAATTGACTTGACACATTCATATTATTATTTAAAATAAAGGGCCAAACCCAATTGCAATCCCAAGTAGAATACACCCACTGAAACAATTAGGACACATCAGTTCCTTTCTTAGTCCAGTTGATTTCAATGGATCTAGTTTTAGTTCAAATCCAATTGATTTCTATTAGTCTACTCTATCTGAGATTAAAACTGGATTACACTTTATAAAATTAGACAGAGAAATCAGTAAGTGGAAGAAAGACAAACTAAAAAGGTCTAAAATCCAAATGAGCTACAGATATTGACATTATCATCAAATAGTTACAAAACATATATTCTTGTGCATTCTTTAGAGACATGAACTATGCAAAATATAAGTCACCAGGGACTCTCTTGGTGGAGGGCCGGTATCGTCCTTTTCATCCATATGTCCATTGCAACACAGATATCAGAGGTAAAAACTTAACTGATTTGTCTTTGTTTTTTGTTTCTTTCTTAAATATTCCATATTGCTTGCCGTTTATTCTCTCCTAAATACTCCTAAAGCTCTGTGTGGTCAAGAAAGCTGTCAATAATTGTATTCTCTAGACATGGTCAGATAATATTTGTATCCTGGGGATACAAATATGAACCACAGCACCATAGGTCCTGTGGCAACCCCATTCCCTCCCCCAGAACCAGCCAGGCCCACTCACTGGGCTTCATGTGGCACGGCGCTCCTCTGTTGTGGTCATTGTGCTGATCCTAGCAGGAGCCC